TTGCGTTTTATTGTGTTTTGATGTGATACATTTTTTTCGGAATGCTTAAGTCTAACATTTTTAAAACTGTTCCTAGTGCGTGACTGGCTCTCAAACAAGCATGTTTGGGGAACAAGTTCTTCTCTTGGAACACGTTTATAGCGGCAGTTGTTAAAACATCTTTTTCTTTTAGGCTTGCTTAGGCTGTTTTGCTGATTTGCATGCTCAGCCTTTAGTTTGTTTAGTTTGGTTTTAAAGATAAATGTTGCTCGTTGCTGCCTCCAAAAAACTTCTGTTCAGCAGTGAAGGAAAGCATACTGCAAAACTGCTGGCGCTTAAAAATTCGTGTGTTGTGTAGTGTGGCTTCGTATGTTTGATGTATTTTTTCATCGCACTATAATTATGAGATGGCGTTTTTGGATGCTGTTTTTTTTGAAGAATTAAAACAAGGAAAAACCATTAAAAAATGCGCAAGAATTTCACAAACTGAAGCTTTCGTTTATAAAACTGCATCTCTTTTGTACTTGAACTCTTTTATACATTTCGTTGATGATTTTGATGAAACTAATTAAGTTTTTACGACTATCAACATGCTCTTTTTTCCAACTTGTTGATGTAACTCACAGCCATGCTATACCCCAATTTTGATGTTTGTTGATGGTTTGATGTGTTTTTCTACCATACTGTTGCCTAAAACCTAAAGTAAATTAAGCTATTTTTGGGCAAATTTTGATTTAATTTGACCAAAAATCTGATTTAAGTTTGCCGTTTGATTTAAATCTGATATGCTTTTGCCATTTTTTTACTGTCGCATCTTGATTTTTAATTAATTAAATTCATGATTTTTTAAACTCAATTTTTCAAAAATTTTTTGATAATCCGACTTCGATAATATTTATAGTTTTTTTGTTTATTTGTAATCAAACTGTAATACACAATGATGATTCATAATTTGTTTGGATTGGAATTTTAAACCAAAATCTAAATTATTTGACTAGTTTTTTAATTTTGATCTTTTTACAGAACTTTTAGTTAAGGCTGTTAATTGTAACAATTTAAAACTGCTTCTGAGCTTAATCCGTTTGTAGTTCTAATAGTTTTCGGCCATAATTTTGTGCTCAGAAAATCCAAGTTTTACTCAAAAAGATGCACTAAATTCATGATTCTTGAATAGATAACGTTTGCAGAGAATTAAAAGTTTTTAAAATCATCAATCTTTACAAAGGCGAAGCTGCGCTTCGCAAACAGTAGACAGAACACGACAAAACGCAGCTTTATAAAGAGCAAAAAAAAGGTAGAAATAAACCTCGAATTATTTTAAAAAAAATGGCATGCTCATGGTTTCGGTCTGCAACCTTGAGGTTACAAGCTCACGCACTAACCACTCAGTCACGAAAGCTTATTAAATCACACACGCTAGCCACAAAAAAAAGCAGAGAACAGATTCTGGGAAATTTTTCATGGTACAGATCGTGATTATAGCAAAGTGCCACCAAATAAGTGAACACTTTCAATGGAAACTTCTACTTGCTAGCTAGGTTAGAATAAAAAAGAAATCTGTACCAAGACACTTACGCTCGCAATCTTGCTAGTGCAAAAACCAAAATTATGGCAAAAAGTTAAAATTACGATTTGAGCATAATATCAAGACCCTAAATTTTGAGCTTACTTTTGGCCCAAAACCGTATTAAGGTTAATGATTTTTACTGTTTTATAATTTTCGGAATTTATATATTCAGGGTTCTCATTGTTTAATTGCGTACTTCTGAGTTTAAAATGGGACTTGCTTTGATCACAATCAT